ACAGTTAAACCGGTGTTACTGGAGGATTTGAGAGGAAACACACCTACACCAGACAGCTCACTTTTGTTGCATTTTTCCCCATGGAGATCTTTCTTTCATTTTAAATGTTCCAAGTGTTTCAAAAGACAAAGAAAAAACCAACAGTCATAGCCTAAATATGAGCTGAAAATAAAAATATAAGCCATATTAGATATATATTGCATTCAACAACAAATGAGGAACATAAATTAGGCTAAATTGTACAGTCCCTGTGGCCCATAGTGTATGAATCTCTGTACATCAGTTCTGTCTGTTTAATTTAAAAGCAGAATTTTATTTATTTTAGCACATTAATGTGAATATTAAACCGTGTGTTCACCATAAAAAATGCAAATCAACACTGAGGAAAAAAGTCTGTCTCATTTAGCTAATTGGCATGGGTGTGTGTGTGGGAAAGAGAGAGGAGAAAGTGGTATTGACCCCGTGAGCAGATGGGCTCCTCCACACTGCTCTGCTCAGTCCTGAACACACACCGGGTCGTGCAGGAGAATGGATGTGGGAGTGTGTGTGTCAGCGACCATCTGACACCTCCCACAACTGGTCTACACTTCCCCCCCCCACCCCCCACCCCATTATGCTTTACATGTGAATGTAACAAATGGAGTGCAATCCGGCCAATGGAGTTAATTATCAAGATGGTGTGAGAATGCAGATTTTCATATGATAATCAGGGATGTTGGAGGCAAAAGTTGGGCAATGCCAAACACACAGGTATGATTCATTTGACATTTTAAGCATTCATGTGAAGCTCTTACGATAAGTGCAGCACTGAGTTTGGTGCATTCACTAAAAATGACAATGCTAAAAGCAAAGGTCAGAGCCTAAAATGGAAAGATAGATTCTCTCAGATCCTCTTATACAGTTTCACTTTCTGGTCTTCTTCTGTTTCACTCAGCTGATTTCACACATTATCTACAGAATGGATCTGATCTTGCTGTTCGCGGTCACAGGTGTAGAGACCGGCCGAGGGAAAAAAAAAGAAATGAAACTTGTCTTGTGGTTGCATTGCATTCTGTTCATGTCGCAAAACTGGTATAGCTTCCTTCTCATTATGGCTTCTCTCTGACTCATGATTGAACTGTTGCTGGTGCAAAATGGTGGCACAGAAAAGCTTTATGTCCATTACATCCACAGTCATCATGAAATACTGGTCAAGAAATATAGGATACATGAGCAGTTTTTACAGTGACACGAGTCCTTATATATGGTATTTCCAATGTAATGCTGACTGGTGGGAACAAGATCTCCACACAGTTTCTTTGTATAATCGGGATGTTGTCCTAAAAGAGATAAAGATATTATTTAATGGGGCTAAAGATCCATAAACATATATAAAAATAAACTTCCCTCTCACCCTCTTGGG